ATTGCTTCATAATTTTGAGATGAATCTTCCTTCTTTTTCGTAGTCACCCTTGGATGTTGCATCACATGGGGCGAGGCTATTCTGTAAAACCATTAGAGACAAGGTGATCAGTCCAGTTCAGGAGCAGAAGGCGGCTTCTTCTTCTCATTGGTTTTTGAGATAGATGCTTATCTCAGAATATTACTTAGGCACCTGATTAGCCTGCTGTTCTTGTGTAACAAATCCATTTCAATGAGAAGTAAACTGCAGTAAATGATTAACATAATCTTCTTTACTAATGACTAGGGTTTTTTAATTTAATGAGTCACTTCTGAAAGTCTGAGGGGGAAACAGGGACACTACTTGTTTTTTTTTAATGATCACAGTGCAATTATTTGCATGTAGAAGCACAGTGTTGTTTCTCAAACCAGCCATATCAAACATGCGGTACGTGTGCTTGCTCAGATATGTACAGCTCACTTGCAAAGGGAAATGTATAGCATGGGTTTTATAAAATTACTATTATGGTCATGATTAATGATTTTGTTATCCAAGCAGTGAAACCACAAGACTTCGTGACCGCCATAGCAATTGCAAAGCTCTAGTACGTGCGGCACAAATTTCTCTAATTGAGCATTTGAGGGCGTGTTGAAACAGAGTTTCTTACCGGACTCCGTGTTCCAGCAACTTTAGTTTTGGGTTCATTTCTCTTATGTGGCTACTGGGCGTGTTTTCAGTAGTTTCCCCTCAAAAACAAATACTGGAGCTGGATTGGTTTCAACAGACATTAGAGGAAGATGGTGTTTCTCTGACAGACCAGTGGCTCAGTGGTGTGGGATGTGTTTTTCCGTCAGTGGAATAGCCTGGCTCTGGTGAGCACATCCTTTCTAGATGTATTCCTGTAGGCGAGTGTGTTGTATTTGGGTGACCTGCAACAAACCTCTCATGTCTTTCCACTCTGCCATCCTCCCCAAAATTTTCAGTGCTGTGCTGGTGGCAGAAAATCCCAGCCAAGAGTCAGTCTTGTCATGGGGGACTGAAGTTGCTCCCTGCTTCCATCACTGACAAAGTCTTGCCATCATTTGTTCATAGTGACACTTGGCTGAAGACAGGAGTGCCTTTTCTTTGAGAACGTGCCTCAGTTTTGCCAGTCACCAAGTCCAGGTTCAGTCCCAGTGAAGTGGTACTGAGAAAATAGTAGGCTTTTGAGGGCCTGAGCATCATGCCCTTGATCCTCAGTCACATATTTTCTCCTGAGGGTTTCCATATGGGTGCTTGAACCACGTTTTAACTGTGGGTGCTGTCAGAAGTACTTCCTTCTCTTTTAACCTCATCTGAGCCTGTTCCAGTAAATGCTATGCATCCTTCTCTTCTGAAGGATACCAGAATAATAATTACATCCAATCCTCATTCCCCATGTGACTCATGGTTCTGTAGTATCCATTCCCATCTTCATGGTCCCTTCTATCATCTCTTTTCCAGGCTGGAGAGATCCAGGCTATTTTGTTAGCTGCTGTTGAGAATCTTTGATTGTCCTGACCTCTGTGGGCTTGCCATGGTGGGAATACCCTTATTGACACAGGGTGGAGGGGAGGCCAGAACCGCAGACAGGTTGGGGAAGCACTGCAGATACATGCTATGCCTTGGTAATGATCTTTACTGCTACTGCCTTTTTTTTTTTTTTTTTTAATCTGTTGCTGAGCCACCAAGCTGACAGTGCCACAGGGCTGCCTGTTCTAACCCCAAGCCCTCTTTCCTGAGCAGCAATAGCTGGCTTAGAGTGCATCATTCTACATGTCAGATCATGGTGTTTCTGTCACTTTGCACTTTAGCGGTAATTTTTTTTTTTTTTTAACATCCAGTCTCTCAGCATTATGACATTCTTAAGAAAGTTTTCAGGGTCAGCTTTCATTTTTATTCTCCTGAATAGCTTAAGTTTCATCAGAAAGCTGTGTCATCTTACAGTTCACCTCCTCTTCAGATCATTCATGAGTATGCTCACCAGCACAGGTATAGACGTGTAGGGTTCATTGGTGGCCATCTGCTTGGGAGGGGAGGTATTTTCTACCCCTTTTTCCCAGTCTTCAAACCAGTCATACCTGTGTTGAGAACCTTCTCTTCCCCTACAGAAGTTTGAAGCCTTGGTGAGGGACCTTGGTGGAAAGCAACAGTGCTTGTCCCAGCCACTGGTCAGCAAGGTAACCCCGCAGACACTGCGTTTGTCAACCAGTTGCCCTTAGCGTCACCAACCAGGAGCCAGCGTGAACTTTTTTACGGAAGAGTGAGCAGAGACCTAGTCTCGGGTAGCTTGCTTTCTCCCTTTCTGGGCACTTAGAGTGTTTGTGTTGGCACGCTGCCCCTCTAATCTGAGGACACTGAACATGGAAATGCAGCAATTTTTAATAAGGTGAAAGCGGAGGCCAGAGCCGCAGCCTCTGTGGTATGCTGCAAACAGGTTTTGTAGCCATGTCAACACATGTGGAGGAGAGGCTCAGTTGCCCTGCCAGGTCTGAAGGAGAATAAGGTGTGGAGGAAAGCAAGGGTAGATAAGAATCAGGCAAGATAAAAATCACTACAGCCTCTTTTCCAATTGCCTATTGCAGAAATACGGCCTTCCCCGAGAGGCAGCAAATAGCATGCTGCTTGGAGGGCTGGTTATAGCTCCCAGCTGCCCCGCTGAGATTATCTAGCAGTTATATCCAGTTTGGGATTTTTATTTTCATCTAGGAGGGTGAGGGGGTTGCAGGCCAGTTACCTTCTCCAGTTGGGTAAGTTTCCCAGGCTTCGTTATTTTGACCATGAGCACCCACAATGGTTTGGGAGCGTATCCACGAGAGGCTTGTCCCAGCAGGGCCCGTCTACAGTTCCAGTGAAGGTGAAGGGTCTGGCACCATGTTAAGGCCCTGCCTCCTTTTTGGTTTGTGCCAGTCAAAGTTTAACTTTGAGAGCATGCTGCAGACTAAGGCTGCCCAGACTATGGGGTGTGTGCCTTTCTGTTGTTCTGAGAAGCTTAAATTACAGCTCGGTATCTGGGTCTGCACCGCATATAGCGCTACAAAAAGGTACTGGTACGAGGTGGCTGTTGTAACTAAATCCTAACTCTTCTCAGGTTTTCCAAATAGGTTGGAAGCTTAATGTTATTACAAAGCACTTGCTTGTAGAAGCTGTTCATTTTCTTTTGAAGTATCCCCAAAATGTGCCTATAACTTTAGGTCCTACAACATCTAGCACAAGAAATAGCTTTGAAGGGTTTAAACACCAGATTTGAAGTGCCTTTGTCTACTAAGTTATGAAGAGGACTGGGCTGATGAAATCACTTTTTAAAAAGAGCCAGAATATGAGTGTGGTTACATTGAAGAGGTGTTCTTAACTATCTTAAGAGTTGTTCTGCTTCTAGGTACTTGTCTAAAAAAACCCAACCAAAACAAACACATGCATTAAAAGTCTGTTCCTAATGGGTGGGTCAGCCATTCAGAACTCATCCTGCTTGTTGTACCTCTTGGATAACCCAGCCTGGCTTTACATCACACTGCAAACAGATCTGTATATTTGCTTTCACCAAAATAAGTTGGCAGTTCAGTGCTTTTAAGCGCTATACCAGTTAAAGAGGATCAACATATATTTTGTGTTGTAATCCTTTAAGGCATGCTCACATTTCGACATGGTCTTGCAGAGCATTGTTTTCAGAATAAACAAATATCCACAATGAGCATTCTTGTAATCTTGGAGTAAGAGATGTGTCTAGGACGATTCATGGGACAATAATATTTAGAGAGTGCATTCTTGACAAGGAGAGAAGGTTTTTCAGGTAAAACCGGTCTTCTCCCACTACCAATACAACTTTTTGCCGCTCTTGAGGTTGTATCTCTAGCTAACTGTTGTGGCAAATGGAAACCTTTCCCTGCATTCTTCGTAGCTGCAGCACAGCTTGTTAGTTGGAAAGGGATGGAGATTTTTCTTAGTTCAAATCACCAAGGTTTTAGGCACGTGCAATGTTACGGCTCTTCTAATCGTTGTGCACGGAGGCTTTTTTTCCTGTCCCTGATCTGTTAGTGCATTTAACAGCTGTCCTCTGAGTTTCCTGGTAGTATGAAAAAATCCCGCTAATCCATGAAAAGAATTAATGGACAAAATCCTGAATATCCAGATATTGTATGGAAACTATTTTAACCAAGGAAGGGCTATGGAGAGAGGATGGCTAGCGCTGCTACCCTGCTGTGTATTTTTCCAGGAGGAGAAATACATGTATTAAGAAGCTGTGGGTATTGGCCACAGCGTGTTATTGTGTGATATTTCACCCTTTCCTGATCGTTGTTGTGTAATGATGTAACTAATTAACCTCAAGAAAGTGCTCACCATAAGCCAGGAATGTATAAAAACACAAGTAACATTCATTGTATGTTAGAGATCAGTAACAGAATGGGGGGGGGGGGGGGGGGGGAAGGAGGCTTTGAAGGAAAGCTGATTATTCAAGTAGCGTGTGATGAACTGGAATTCAGTGAGGGTTTGGACATGGTGTAAAGGAGTTTTTGGCTTAATGGGACACCTGCAGGTTAACAAAATTGCCGGTATTTTTGTAGCCTGGGTAACTAGTGGGGTACAGCCTGGGCACACAGATGCTCACTCTGAGTCTGCCTACAGGACGTACACAATTGCATCATTTGTCGGAGTTTAACTTTGCTCTCCAGAGGTAGCTTCTAGCGTCAATGTTCATCATCCTGCAATGCCCAGTATAATAAATAACATGCCAAGTGAACACGAGTGGTGTTGGTGAATATGTCACAGACAGGCTATGGCATATTATTTTCCCACATGTGTGGTGGCAGTTTTTATGGCCTGGCAACAGATCTACTTCTTTCAAGCATTTAATGTGAAACTTTATGAAGGTGCCTGCTGTCAGGTGTTGCCAGTATTGCAGGTGTGTGCAAAGTCAGTGAGTGGCAAAACATCTCTCTCGATACCGCATGCAGTAACAGCTGAATGTATGACGATTTTTTCCCCCCCCTTTCCATTTAAAACAGAATGCTACAGATAGCTCCTCTAACTCCTCTCAAAAAAGGGAACAGCCTGTGCGAACTCTGGCTTCTCCTGCATCCTGCGAACATCGAAGAATTTGCACTCGTGGACACCTTCACGACCATTATAGCTCTGACCACTACCATCTAGAACAAGTAAGGTTTCTTCCCAGTGTTGCCACCTAAAGGGCTGTGTCTGCCATAGCTAAGACTGGTGGTTGGTTTTCTCCCCACATCCCTGAAAGATGCCCCCCTTCCTTTCTCCCCCTTTCCTTCTCAGTTAGTTATAAATGGTTTCCAATTTTAAAAAAAAAAAAAAAAACAAAAAAAAAAACAAACCAAAATCCAAACAAAACCAAACCACCAAAAATGGATTTACACTGTGATTTAATATGTTACGTTGTACCATGTGCACACAGACCACTGTGGGTCTGTGACAGTTGTACTAATTCCTGAGCCAAAGGCTGAAACTCTGCAGTGGGTCACAGTGAAGGGTGTACAAACAAGGGAAGACAAAATTGTTAAATATCAGCTTCTCGCTAAGCAAGGAGACAGTGATTGCTGATAGCAACGTGAGCTTACTTATCTTTTCTCCCTCTTCATCTCCATCCCTACTTCCACAGTCAGTACCGCGATCCTACCGGCACGTCAACTTTCCAGACGATGATGAGGAGATAGTACGCATCAATCCTCGGGAAAAGATTTGGATGACTGGATACGAGGACTATCGCCATGCCCCAGCACGAGGAAAAAACTTTGATCCTGATGACATGGACTCCTACGTACGTTTTGCCAAAAGCGAGGCCTCAAAACATGAATACACTTATCCTTACGTAGACAACTCGGACTTTGACCTGGGTGAAGATATCAAGGGTGCTGTGATAAAGACTCAACCTGTCAAATTCAAGCCCAGGCGGAAGGAAGATGGTGAGAGGTCACGGTGCGTGTACTGCAGGGACATGTTCAACCATGAGGAGAACAAACGGGGTCAATGCCAGGATGCTCCAGACCGCGTCAAGACTTGCATCCATCGAGTGAGCTGTATGTGGTGTGCAGACACTATGCTCTATCACTGTATGTCCGATCCGGAAGGAGACTATACAGATCCTTGCTCGTGTGACACCAGTGATGAAATGTTTTGCCTCCGGTGGATGGCCCTTATCGCCTTGTCTTTCATTGCTCCATGTATGTGCTGTTACTTGCCGCTTCGGGCTTGTTACCACTGTGGGGTCATGTGCAGGTGCTGTGGTGGAAAACACAAAGCTGCTGGATGACTACAGATGCATTCGAAGTGTTATGTTTTTTCCTGTAGTTCAAAGAACACATTGGTTTTGGAGCACTGAGATCACTCATTTTGATGCAGCCACTGTGCCCAACAGCATCCAGAAACCACCAGTTCGGATCGCTTTACATTCGGTTGTCTGGGGCTCACACTGCATTGATTTGCTCATCAAGTGTTCTAACTAACTAACCTACAGCATAGACTTTTGTATTATTAATCTGTAATCAAAACAGACTGTCTTGTACATGTTTATTTTATTAATTTTTTTTTCAGTTAAAATGAGTTTGAGAAAAGAACTGCTTTAAATGGTGGTGGATTGTAGAACATCTCCAGGTTGTGTCTGTCTTGCCTCCGCTTGTGCGGTACCATCGACATGTTAGCAAGCTTTGGCATTTCTAGAAACAGGGTGGTGTAGTGAATGAAATCTCACTTGGAAGATACTTTAACTTGCTGTCAAGTTATTGTGTGTGTATAGAAGGTGTGCTAGTAACAAACTTGTACCACAACACAGTATTTCTGTCACTGGTTTTCTTTGGGGTTTTTGTTCTGTTTTCCAAAGCCAAAATAGCCATCTAAGCTGCAGTTTCTCTTCTAGAGTCCATCGTCATTTCCTTCAGCAAACATCTTAAATTATTTCTCTGTTCGTAAAGCTCTGTGAACAGAAAGCAAGGCTCCATTACCATAGTCACATAACCATTGAGAATCTGGTAGTTCTCCTTACCTGTAATCATTTCAGACCACTACTTGAAAGGGAAACTTAAATTTTAGGGTTTTCTTTTTTCCCTAAATAACATTGGAAAAATAAAACTGTGTTTTCAGAGTTCTGCCCAAAAGAAGGGAACTTCTTCATTAGCTAGCCATGTAATGATCTGTGAATAAAACACTAAGGTTCCAGATGAGGAAAATTGTCGTTATGCAAAGATTTACTAACAATGCAATGTCAAAAGCACTATTATGGCAATTCTGGGGAAATGCTGCATTAAGTGGTGGATTATATGGAAAATTGTATTTGTTTGTTTATTTTCTGTATAATACATGAGCCTGAGAACATATGTGTCCACGGTAGAAACTACATTTAGCAATCTAAACAGGTATTTAAAATCAAAAGCCAGGATGTTAACCACCACTTCCATTTCCTGACCCGCGGTCCCAATCCTCCAGATGCTTACACGTGTCTCAACGTATTGCATCTGCAACCGGCATTTCTGTGAGTCTGTGTGTAGGATTAAGCATGTGAGTCTTTGCAGGAACCGGACCGAAGCGTCTCCCTGGCTTTCCCCTCCCCAGTTCACCACCCAGATTTATCAAGTGGATGCATAAGGTGCATACAGCAGGATAAGATTACTTTAATTTTTTTTTTTAATGTCATGTTGTCTTGTGTACAAGGCTTGTAATTAGCTTGGAAAAAGAGTATTTTTCTAATATATTACAAGGAATAGCCAAATAATTTTTATTAAAAAAAAAAAAAAGATTTAGCGCAGTGAGCTCTAACTAGCATAGTACAATCTGAATACTTTGAGGCAGCTAGGGATTGGCTTGTCAAAGCTGGCACTGCTGTTCCTGCCATAATTTCTTTCTGCAGTAAATTGCCAGTGGGCGCATGTCCTTTCCCTCCCTCTATTGCACATTGACATCAGTCTTAAAAGAGAGGAATTTTTTTTTTAATTAATTTGCCAAATAAACCTAAAAGGAACGCTTGCCATTCTTTCTTGGTGGAATGTCCCAACGGTTCCTCTGAGAGTTAATCACAGCTTTTTAGTCAACCATGAATTAAGTATGCAATGTGCTTATACACTATAGAGTTTGGTAGGCTTAATTCGTAGCAGTTGCTGGGGATTTTTTCAGTTGGGAAAAAAAAAAGAATGATAGTGGAAAAGGGATGGAGTGTTACACTCTGGGTGATGTGTCTGGGTTTGTTGAATGAAATATAAATATTTTGTGCCTAATAGCAGTTGACAAATCTCTCAATGGTGTCTAGTAAACATCAAGCCAGCCTCGAGGAAAAAAAAAAATTAATGGAACAACCTTTTCCTTTCATTTCTGTTCTCAAAGTTGTTTCATGTAAACAAACATCTGTAAGATCTTCTCTCTATAAAGCACAACACTACAAAAAGATCTTACAGCTTTTTGTCCGGTCTTGAAGTGCCCCTATTTATTTAAGTAAAGTAGACATACTCCAACCCTTTCTGTATGTCTGGAAATAAAAGTTTAGAAAAAAAAATCCCTCTTTTTTTATTTTTTTTTCTTCCCCTCCTTCTTCCCTCTTCTCTTGGGTTTTTTGTAATACTTGTAGATTTTGCTACGTGTGTTATTTGGTTTGTGAAGGCAGTGGTGTAAGGGCACAATGATAGAAATGGGTGTTTTTTTGTAAATATTTCTCCTTAATTTCCACACTGCTGCTGAACAGTGTGTAGCATTCTCCCAGTCAGCTTTGCAATACTGACATCAATCATTTGAGAGAAATTATTCAGATTTTATTTTTGTATCTGTGGTAACAAAACATTAACCAAATTTTTTTTTCCTGTTGTGGAAATGTTGGGTTTTTTGGTTTTTTCCAAGCTATCGCTCACGTTAACAAATTAAAGTGCCTGAAGCCTCATCATTATTGTATCTATATACTAAAAGTTAAAACCCTGTTGTATTGATTTTTATAAGCCTTTTTACCTCTGTGTAAAAAAAAAAATATATATACAAGTGTATGATGTACATTTTAGTTCTTAACTTCTTTTTTTATTGTTTCTAATATGTATGATCAGTGTAGCTATTGCTTTAAAATGTACCATGTAAATATAAATACATCATATCAAAATGACACCGTTTATTGTTATTCAGGTGGCTGGAAAACAAGGGGAAAAACTAAACAGTACTGGGAAACATGGGGCCATCGCCAGAGCTGCCTCCCCAAGGCCTTGGGTTTCTGAGGGAAAAAATGGATTTATGTTATGTTTTTCAGTGGTGAATGCTACTAGCCTGGGGCATGGGCCATACTTGCCCAAACACAGCAAGGGAGTATGAGGGTGCATGTTTTTTCGAGTGGTTTTTTAGGTGGTTTTCAGGTGTTCTGCATGTTTTGGGGTTGGACGCCCCTGGGGTGGCCTGGCCTGGTTGTGCTGCGCCCCGGGAGGCCTTGGCTGCCATGACAGTGGCAGAGATCCCCCTCCTGCTCTTCTTTCTCTTCTCCCCAGGCCCTCATACCATGTGTTGCTTTGGGCTGGGCTAAAGACACCAGGGAGATCTGTTTATGTTATTTTGTTGCACCCAAGCTGTAAGGCCCCAAAGAAGAGAGGAAAGCAGAGAGAAGGGACAGCTGATGTGGCTGCCAAGCGAGGGCCACGTTGCTTTTCGGGGGCATGCGGTGGGAGTTTGCAGGAGCTGGTCAGATGCCACTGCTGCCACTGAGGAGACACACCTAGGGCGGCTGGCACTGCCATCCCCACTCGGAGAGGTTTCACGTGGAAGATGGAAGAGGAATAACCCAGTTAAAACAGATACCAGCCTGTGGCCGATTGAGGAAACTGGAGGAAAACAAGTGAGTGTATCTGAATTTTTAGTTATTTCCAATGGGAGCTAGTTAGGCCAACACCACACGCTTCTGAAAAACCTGGTTTTATTTTTCAGTAGGTGAGTGATAACACAACCAAGCTGTTGATCCTTTTTTTTTTCCCTATGTGGTGCTGCTTGTTTCGCTGCGGCATAACAAAGCTGCCTTGAGCAGTGCGTAAGAGGGGAGGCAAAGACCACAAGCGCCAAACTATACGTGTCCCTCTCAGATAAAAGGTTTGCTCCCCACTACGGCAGTGCTTTGCATCATCTGCACCCACCCAGCACATGGGGTGACGTTGCAGTTGTGTGAATAACCTTGATGGCTGAATTAGCGCTTTGCTGAGATCTGAGTCCACATTTGCTTTTTATTGGTTTATATTTGTATTCATGTATTTCCAGAAATAATATATGCTCATATAAACATAGAATTCTGTTTGCATTTGTGATACAAGTGTATATTTGTTACAAGTTAAAAAAAAAAAAAGACTTTGCAGGCCTCAGGAGAATCACGTGCACTGTGGGTTAGGTGGTGTGTTCAGGAGGACTCTTGTTGCACACAAAATCCTTTGGTCTGCATCAGTGTTCACTCTATCAGCAGCTAAGCCAAGGGCAAAGGTACTCCAGCCTACTGCTACACTTCATTATACTCTCTTGACTAATTATGGCAGGAAGACTTCAGCCATAGACTCCCTGGCCATTCAAATCCAGTTTGTCAAGCAGAATGCCTGGCTAAGCCATGTATCTTGGAGCCTGCTATGTCCTTTTGCTTTTATCTGTGAATCAAAGGGGCTGCTTATGCTTGGAGATTTCTAAACTGAACCAGTAAATGGTAAGTTTGGACCCTGGATCTGTGGAAAATGCAAACACCACCAAGATACATGGCACCACGAAAGGCAATTAATTTTCTGCAGCCTAATCAATACGGAGGTCCCAGGCTTATTCCTGCTGATCATCTGGGACAGGTACTGTCCTCGTGGCAAGATGCAGTCAAGGAGATTGAGTTTGGAGAAGACATAGATATTGTAAGCTTACAACCATATGAAACAAGGTTGAGTATTTTATGGCTTTAAAAAAAAATATATTTCACTAGTAAATGTAATACAGATTGCCTTTTACACAAGGTTGAGTATTTTATGGCTTTAAAAAAATATATATTTCACTAGTAAACGTAATACAGATTGCCTTTTAGAATCATGTCCTTTCACCCAGGCTCAGTTTTAGGTGCTGGCAAATGCGGCTTGGGATTTTATAGCAAAGACTTGACACCAAATGTGCTGCTACTGTTGCTTGGGTCAGAATGGCTCTCCCGAACTTTCCTTTCCCAGCTTTGGCAGCAGGAGGGTGACGGCCCAGTTCACCCCCTGGGATGGCATCCTTGGGTTCAGACAAATGTTATCACAGTAGTCCCACTTGTGCGAACTTTTCTCCTAGTAGCTTGTGAAACTGAAGAGACAGAGGGCAAGGAGAGGATTTTCTTGGTTGTGCTTACTCAGGAAACCTGCAAATAATTCCAAGAAGCCTCTCTTCATTAATGCAGTATCAGGTCAGGAATTGCAGGGGAATGGAGAGCAACTTGTGAGGGATAACCAGTGTGGGTCTCTCCAGCTACAACAGCTCTGTTTTCCTGCAAGGTACCATGTTAACTGTGTCAAGCATTTCTCAGGAGTGACTGCAGCTGCCCAGCATTACCTTCAGGGACAGAATTTTTGAATGAGGAGGGTTCACCCAGCCTCCTTGAATTGCCCAGTAATAAGTTTTTTCTCACTCTGCTCAGAGAGCTGTAATTTAAATAGGCAAACCTGACATACCTCTGTTGTGAAAATGTGTAAGTCCAAGAGAGGTTGAATGACTTGTGTAATGTCACATGGGGAATTTGTGGCACACGTATCCTGAGCACAAGTCCACCACCATCTTCATCCAAAGGTGGTCTCTTCTGTCACTCTGAAGATCACCTGGGAGGTTTGGGCTTCTACAGGACCCTGGCTGCATGGTGCACAAACCAAACTCATTGCCTGATCGAATGTGTAAATCTCCATTCTCTGCTAATTCAACTTAGAAATGCAAATTGAAAGTAGCTGTCAGGATGCCTGGAAACAAGAGGTATCATTGCATGCGTTCCCAATGCTTATCACAGGCAGAACTTGGCTTCTCCTACAGACCAAATGGGCCTTTTTCACAAGTCGTTTGAGAGTGAGCTTGCAACACTAGCAACCGGAAACGCTTTCTTTTCTTCAGCCAACGATGCTAGATGAGTTAACATCCTCCTAACACCTTGTCCTTTTCCAGGATGTTGGGCCTTCTGGTATTTTCTTAACATTTTGAATTGGGCAATTAAATTCCTTAGTATCTTGGTGGCATACGTGGAAATAAATAGAAAAATGTTTGGCTTCTACCCAGAGACAAGATATTTAAATGGTGGAAAGTATGTGTGTATTTTTGGGGTGGTGTACTTAGATCTCTACAAATATTTTTAGTTGCTTCCCTGCACTCAGGCGCAACCATCCCATGCCATTCATCTCATTCCCCCATTCCCCACTTGTAAATTCATTTAGGAAGAGTTGACAGACTTTGGTTTGGCTTCTGCTAGATTTCAAGCCTGCTGCCTAATGTCGTGTGAGACAGGATCTCACAGCAGCACTCTGGGTGGTTGTAAAGAGAAGGGTTTCCGAGGACTGTAACACACCCCAGCTCTCTGCAGACGCAATCACAGCTCTGTGCACTGATGTGTAGGTACTCTGAGGTGGCAAGGAAAGTGCAAAGTAATTTCCAGACTTAATATAATTCATGCAATGACCTAAGGAGTCACTGATGTTAAGAATACATATCATTGCATGGGGGAGCTAGAATTAATGCTAGCTTTGGGATGGCTGAGACATTACGAAGTCATA